CCCCAAAACCCCAAAACCCCAAAACCCCAAAACCCCTTACGTTAAATTGATTAATACATTAAATGCTTATGAAATTAATGATTAATTAATATTTCTGGCTTTAGTACTCATATAGCATTTCCATTTTCAATATTTGCTTTGATCTCAGCTGCGTGCTTGCCGAAGTTACGCTCTAATTTCTCATTAAAGACTCTATTCCTTTCGTTGATATAATCAATATCCTTATCCTCGACAAACATTCTGGTTCTTTGGAATTACCCTCTTTTCTCTATTTACTTTTCAACATCCTAAGCCAATAGAGCAGCTCTCTCTTCCTCAGTCAAATCCGTTTTATCGTTTGGCAAGTTCTTTACTCTCTTGAAGTATGCTCTATAGAGTGTATCTTCATTAAACACATCCCAACCGAAAGTCAAGTTTTTACCTTTTCTCTTTTTTCCTTTTTCTGCTTATGCAGCAGTATCAAATGCATACTACTTATCCTTAGCTAAACCCTGATTATCTAATTCCTACTAAAGTTGCCTCTTATCCTTAAAGAATTCCTCCTTATTTCTTCTTTTCTCATAAAGATAACCCTCCTGCAATCTCTCTTACTCTTCAACTACAGCTTTGTTATTAAGTTTCCTAGCCTCATTCATTTTCATCATTAGTTCCATCTTTTTATGAGCAAATTTATCGTTTCCAGATTATTTCTTTAGTTCTTCTATTTCTTTTTTCTCCTCTTCATCCTCATCATCCTCGCCTTCAGGTTTTGATTCTGACTCTTTAATATCATTCTGCTACTATTACTTGCTTTACTATTCCTTGGCTTTTGACTTTTATTTATCATCTCTTGCCTTTTCGTACTCATCTACTGCATTTGGTTCAGCAAACTCATCTCTCAGCATCTTATCCTAAATAGATCCACCAATCTAACCACAGTCAAACATATGAACTGGGATACGAGGTTTCTCATACATATCAGTGGGTACTTTAGCGATTGCTCTAACTACATCCATACCCTCAATTACTTAGCCAAATACTACATGCTTTCCGTCTAGATGTGGACAGGGTTTCAAAGTAATGAAAAACTATGAGCTATTTGTGTTTCTTCCGTGATTAGCCATCGAAACTAGTCCAGCATGAGCATGTCTTCTGGTGAAATTCTCATCATTAAATTATCTACCATAAATGCTCTCTCCTCCAGATCCATCATTAGATACTATATCTCCAGCTTAAATAACAAAATCCTCCACTATCCTGTGCACCTTGCATCCTAGATAATGCAGCTTTTTCTTAGTATGCTTCCCTATTCCATATTCACCTATATGCACATTTTAGCCTCCGAATAATTTGAACTAATTGAATCTATTACCTGTACAGAGAGCTCTAAAATTTTCACTTGTCTTTGGAGTGATGTCAGAAAATAATTCTATCACGACTCTTCCAGCTAAATTGATTTTCTTTATGAAATATTTTAAATTCTTACCAGCTTTTGAACCAATTGTAAAGTCCATGTAAACTCTGATGTTTTTCGGCATTTTTCAATTTTATAATTATCAATTCTATTATTTTAATAATTTTTTGTTGTTGGGGTTTTGGGGTTTTGGGGTTTTGGGG